CAGTTACATAAGACAGTGAGCTTTAGAGCTGAAGCCCAGGCTGCAGGCACTGCACACATATCTGTAGTGTCTATTACAGGGCCCATGACAGACATCACTAATCTATCTCAGCTCTGTTTAATCTTGATCTTTGTCACTGGTTCATCACCAGCACCTACACACAGCCCTGGCATATGGCGGGGTGCACTGGTATCTGCTAAGGGAATGACTGAAGCAAGCAGGGTAAATGACAAGCTGTAGCAGGCAGGCACTCAAACACAGGCCTGCATGACCTCACACCCTTGTCTTGTCTCCCATCTCTAAAAGGGGAGGGCCAGCTCCATAATTCTCTTGTTTGCTTTTGTTTTTTTTATTGCGGTCAAATTCACATAAAACAAGATTACCCAAGAACCATTGTAAGTGAATAACTCGGTGCCTTTGGCACATTCAGGCACATTGAGGCAGACATCACCACCAGCTCCAGAACTTTCTCGTCATCCCGAACAGAAACCCCATTAGACAGTCATCCCCACTGGCCCCTCTCCCCGGTTCTTGCAACCACTCACTTGCTTTCTGTCTCTTTGGTTGTGCCTGTTCTAGACATTCCATGCAAATGGAAGCCGTGTGTGGCCCTTCGTGTCTGGATTCTTGCACTGAGCATCATGTTTTTGCGGTTCATCCACTTTGTAGCATCTATCAGCACATCATTCGTTATTATGAAGGACTCTGTGGTGTGGACAGACCCCATGCGGCTTACCCGTTCAGCCGTTGATGTACACTTTGGTGGCTTCCATCTTTGGTATTGTGGATGGTGCTGATATCAACGTGTGTGTACGTGTATCTGTTTGAGCTCCTATTTGGCATTCTTTGGGGTGTACACTTAGGAGTGGATTGCTGGGCGTGCCTGGGTGGCTCAGTCAATTGAGCATCTGACTCTTGGTCTCAGCTCAGGTCTTGATCTCATGTGAGTTCGAGCCCCGCATTGGGCTCTGCACTGGGCATGGAGCCTGCTAAAAAAAAACCAACAACAACAAAAGGAGTGGAATTGCTGAGCTGTGTGGTAATGCTATATTTAACTTTTCGAGGAACCCATAAGTCTTAAAGGCTAGGGATTTAGAAGCTGGTCTCTGGCTCCTTCCTCCCTCTCAACCCTCACCCCAGTAGGTGCCCTCCAACAAGGCTTGGGAGCCCCCCTCCTCAGCTCACAGTGACCCCAGAATCTCACTGACATGTGGCTTGTTCCATGCACCCCTCCCCCGGACCTGGCTGAGCAGGACCCTTCTGAATAAGATGGAAGAGCTGCCCCCCGCCACATTGAGGGGGTCTCCAGCCGACCCTGTGCGTCCTCTTCCACCTTCCCTTCCCCTGTGATTTCGTGTCCTGGCCGTCCTCACCATGCACCCGACTCTTGCCCGTTCTGCGTCTCATCACCCCTGAGCATTTGCTGGAGGTACCTCCCCTTTCCTCTGTGGCTTCCAAAAATCTGCTCACCTTTGAAGGTGCAGCTCGGGTGACACCTCACTGGCATCATAATCCCCACCAGAATGAATCTCTCTCTGCGTTTCCACAGCACCTTGTGTATTTGTACCAGCAAAAGTCATGATTTCATCCTGTCTTGTACAGAATTACTCGTTGACAGTGAACTGGAAAATTTTTATATACATATCTTGCCAGGTTATTTTAAGGATTTATTGACATGAAGGGGAAAGCAGCCTAGTGCATTAAATTCTCCTATTCTCTCCCCTTGTCCCTCTGCCACTAAATTACGAGCTTCAGAAAGAGAGGAGTGTTTTACCCATCTCAATACCTACATAATGCAGTGCCTTGCCTGTAACAGGCACCTAATTAATTTTTGTTGATTGAATTAGTGGGCTAGAGAAAGTGAGCACATGACATCAACTCTTCTGATTGTTGGAAGCATATTGTGCTAAGAATTCACGTCTGATAGAGATCAGGTTTTGTTATAAGGTCAATTTCAACTGCAGGCCACCGAAATGTCACCGCCATGTATTTCCCGTTGTGACACTTTGTAATTGAAAGTGTGCAGGTGTGACTCTCACTTTTGCAGAGCATTTAGATGTTAATATGTGCATTCTCGGAGATTCTCGCATTTTCAAACACAAGTTTAATGGAAATTAAATTGTGGGGAGTCTGAAGTGCTCCCGTTTGAGACAAATGGTTTTAAATGAGAGCAGCCGCTGGTTCTGCATAGTCACCGTGCTGCTAAATGAACAGGCTTGCTTCGAGTTGGATATGCTGCTGGAATAGATTAAAAAAAAAAAAAAACATTGAGTTATCAAGGAAAGAGTATGGTTTCTCAGTCAATTTATGGTCACATGTTCCAGACCCATGCTCTCCTCAATAACATTTCCTCTGCTGAAAGGCAACACAATTTCCTCTCTGAACTAGATCATTTGTATTCATCAAGCCCCAGTATCTACTATGGTGAGGTGTTTTGTTATTCGCTGAGTTAATTGATGTTGTCATGGGTAAAAGCAAGGGCTTTGGGCTCAGACAGTCCCAGGCATTCCTGTAACCAAGGCCAAATACATAACCCCTCCAAAATTCCACGTCCTCATCTCCCTCCCTGCTGGATGGCTGAGCACATTGAGGGGGATAAAGCGCCCTTCAGAACCGTACCCTGCTCCCTCAGACTACAGTCACTTCCTCCTGGGACGCCTCCCAGAGCCCCCACCAGGAGAGACTTTATCCTTAGCCACCCTGCACCTGCTGGCTGGTGACTGAGGAGGAGAGCCCTAGGCAGGCACTCCCAGTGCACTCCCAAGATGTGGGGCCCAGTCTGATTCTCTAACTGTGCTATTAGCTGGACTCTGTAAGCAAAAGAAACCCAGATACTCAAGCAAGCTAAAAGGGGGGGGGGTGTGGAAAGGAAGGTGGAGGGAGCTTTCTTCTGGACCAGTGGGATGGGAACACTTCTGCCCCAGTCCTTCCATTTGGAGGGACATCTATGATCCTGACACTCCTGGCCCTCCCCCGCCACACCGGCTCACCCCCAGGGATATGGGGGACTCAGGTTGGTCCCAGCAGGTTCAGAAGTGAGTGGTGCACTCATGGCCAGGTTGGGCTGCAGGCTTGAGGTGGAACCAGGGAGCCTCTGTGTCCAGGACCTCCGTCCTCTCTTGCAGCTGCTTCTCTGTTGCACACTGTTCTGCTTGCCGGCTCCTCTCCTGGGGGAGGAGGTGTGGACCCCACAGCTCCCGGGACTCTGGCCTGTCCCCGTCCAGTCAGCTGCGGCCAGAGGTTCACACAGCATGGACAGGGCTGCTGGGTCTGCACCCCTGTAGACAGAGGAGGAAGTTTCTGAGAGCAGGGAGGCACAGTGTGCTGAACGGACACCCCAACGCTACCTCCTGCACCCACTTCCCAGGAGCACCTCAGTTGCCTCATCTGTGAAGAGTGGATAATGACATAGCCATTCATCTCCTGGGGCTCTGGGGATGAAACAGGGTGGTGTCTGTGGCACCTCCAGGTGCTCCGGACATGGTCATGCTTGGAAGGCAAGCACTGCACTTGACTGATCCCTGCGCCCTGTGCCCAGTGCCCACAGGGGGGAAGTTGGTGAGGGGGGCACCTAGTAGGTACACCATGAATGTTCATGGAATGAGTGAGTCCTTAAACCAGTGCCAACACCACCCTCCTTTGTTTAGTCTCTGCTTCTAAAAATACAGCTCCATGTCCCATTAGCTCTGGGGTACTGGGTTGGGAGCACTGCCAACACATCGTCCCGAGCTTGGTGCCAGACACCCGCCCACGTGCTCACCCGTGCTGCTAAGCCCGCCGCCGCCCCTAGGTGGCACTGCCTCTGTGCTTTGTTGCAGCGCGAATGGGTGGACATCTACGAAGTGTTAGGGCTCAGCGACTCTGGGGACAGACAGATCTGTTTTCAGACCCACCATGAACCTCTCTGTGCCTCAGTGTCCCCGTCTGTAAAGACAGGACCACAAAGCGTGTGGGCACTCATAACGATAATGAGTATTAATAGTGCCCTGTGCAAAGAGCTTAGCGCAGCGTGCAGCGTGCAGAAAGGACTCAGGAAACAGGGTCCACGAGTTGTGAGACGTGAATGGCTCCAGCACTGTTCGGAGATCCAGCACAATACAACCAAAAATACACACTCCAGATAACACAGCAGGGATCTAGCAAGAAAACCCACAAACCAAAAGATGCAGGGGGAACACACTTGAATGGTGGCCTGGGACGGGGGTGGGGGAGGTGATAAAAAGAAAACGAAGGGGGTGCTGTTGCTTCAGGACCACAAAGCAATGGGCTACTGGCAGGTCCAGCCTGGGACGGCAGGGCTTGGGAGGGGTCTGGAGGGAATCAACATACAGGGGGCGCTGGAGCTGAGAACCCTCACTCCCGGGGTTCCAAAGCGAAGTTCCACATCCAGGGCACCCCCTCCGTCTCCACCAAACTTGAGAAGGTTGGTCACACTGGAAATAGGCACTCCCCAAAACGGGCCACCAGGCACTGCATGGGGTCCTGGGATTCCCAGACAGCGCTGGGGATCAGTGTTCCGTGTGGGGACAGGGCAGCGGGGCTCGGGGCTCCCAGCCTCCTGTGTCATGTGGCCACTGCATCTGCTCTGAATCTTCCGTCTGAGCCCTCCCATCTCACAGATTGGGCTGGCTTGTCCCGGGTGGATGATGCACTGAGCTGGTCAGCTGGCCTGCAGAGGGATCTCAAGCCAGCTCTGTCCCCTTGCTCTGCTTTTCCACCTAGAAAATGCGCACAATGATCCTGCCTGGGGTGTGGTCAAAGTCAAATGAAAACACTTTTATTGAAGGAATCTCTACAACTAATATGGGTCTCAAACCCGTGACCCAGAGATCAAGATTCACATGCTCCTCCAACTGAGCCAGCCAGGTGCCCCCGGCCTTCAGTTTTTAAAGTGTATCCCCAGTATGAAAGCAAAGGATGTGATGTCAGAAGAAACTACGTGGGAAATGGCAGGGAAGTGTTCCTGGCTGGCCTGACTATGCATTTCTGGTTTCTTCCAGGGTGGAAGCGTGTGAAGGGGGCCTCTGTTCCTGGAGGAGAGGATCATGGCCTTCATGTTGCTCAGCCGGCGGCTGGCCTGCACCTTCCAGCACAACTACAGCCTGCTCGTGCCCAGTAAGCCGTGGAGGGGGGTCTTGGCAAGAACTGGTCCCGATGGGAAACACAGTCCAGACTGGGGATTCTTGGACTGGGAGAGCCCTTGGGGGTTAACGGGCTGGCCAGCCAGTATTTCTGGGGCTGTCTCCCCCTCACACACACTAAAACTGTCCCCATCACCCTCTTCCATCTCCCGTCTCGGCCACATGCTCCTGTCCCTGCATGAACAGCTCTGTGGTGGACAGGAAGCTGATCCGGCCTAGAGCCACATTGCTTGCCTGGAGTGGCGGCCCCAGCAGCCGGAAGGGTCCGGCCTGTCCTCACAGGGACTGTTGGGGAAAACATATAGCTGAGCTTGCTGCCAAGAAATAAGGCTACAAGCATCCTTGTGATTGACCTAAAGGCCAAGTGGGTGTCCAGGGTACTGGATAGGAGGCGGCTACCCCCACCGCACTCTCCCTCACCTGCACCCACCCAACCCTGCTGGCCTGCAACATCGCCCACTCCGCGGCCATGTCTCACCGTCTCTCCGGGGCTTCTGTTTCTCTCTGCCTCACTGAGTGTGGGCAGCTCGGCCAGGCCAGCCTCATCAGCTTGCAGGATCCTGTGAGACCTCCTTCCCAGTAGCCCCACCGGAAGGCACGCATGAATCCCATTTTGCAGGTGAGAAAGCCAAGCCTCAGAGAAGCAAAGTCCGTCTAGCTGCAAACACTGGGTTATCGTCCCTCCCCCATGTGCCTCCCTGGGGCTCTGGGGGAGAGAGGGACTAGCGGTAACCCCCTTAGAGGAACCCTACATCCCCCCGCCAAGCCTGTCTCAGTTCTCCCAGAGCCCCGTGATTGTCATCGTGGTGTCCTTTCCTTATTGGTCTCATCTGCCTTCTGAAGACAAAGTGCTGGCCGTGGCCTTGGTTGGCATGTAGACCGCAGGTGTTTATACCCTGGGTAGGATAAAGAGCAGGTGTGTTCTCTCTCCCACAGGAGTATTAGCAGGTTTTGTTTTCAAATAAACCTTTTAATTTGGGCTGATTTTACAAGTACAGAGAAATTACTAAGCTAGTCCAGAGAGGTCCCCTGTGCCACGACGTTCCCCACGGTTAAAATCTTACATCACCGGGATGCATTTGTCGAAAACGAAGAAGCTGGCCTTATATTTTACTGTTAACCAAACTCCAGACTTCTCTTTGGATTTTACCAGCCTTTCCCTTGATGCCTCTTTCTGGATCCCAGGATCCAGCCCCAGTTCCCGCAGCGCACTGTGTTGTCATGTCGTCTCCTCTGGCTTGTGACAGTTCCTGTGTTCCCTTGTTCCTGACCTCCGTAGCCTCGAGGAGTTAGGTTTTGAGGTTTTGTTTTGTTTTACGCAATTATAAGAGAAGCATATTGATGCTGACCCATTATTATGTTAAAAATAAACCAAAACCTGACCAATGGTGCAGGTACGGGGTGCTCCAAGCAGGAGGGAGAGTCCTCCCTAGCTAATACTATGGAGCACCTGCTGGGTGCCAAGCACTGTGCCAGGCGCTGAGGATACACCAGTGACGAGAGAGCGCGTGGCTCCACCTTTGCAGGTCATTCTCATGGACATCGGAGCCTTCCCAAGGAGAGAACCAGGAAAGAGCAGTGGGTCAAGACTTCTACTACTGGGCCCTATTTCACCAAGTGAGCCTGACCAGTGGGCAGGACTGTGAGCCTCCGTTTCTCTTCGGGAAAGTGGGGGTGGTACTGATGTCCTCCCTGCTTTGCACATTTCTTGTCTCAGAAGGTGAACAATTCATGTGAAAGCCCTTCGTTTATGCTTCCATTGGGGGGGAGTGGCCTAACTCCCATTTTACAAGCATGGAGGCATGATGAAAAACCAAGACAGATGTGACTAAATCGGAGTTAACAGCTCTGCATTTTCTTGGCCAGAGCTGAATCTTTTTTTGGCACACTTGTGCCAGATGGAGAGAACCATGCCGTGAGATTTTTTTTCTTTTCTTTTGGCCTATCACTTTGACATATCTAGTATGATAGATGATGATAGATGAGTTGATTGATAGATACGAGTTTTTTAATACTAAACCACAGTGTTGGCAAAGATTCGGGAATATGTGCACTCCTACACTGCTGTTGGGCAAGTGGCAATAAGGAAATCGTTGTAAAACAATAGCTAACCTTTAATCCATTTAGTCCCCTGGGAGAGGAAAGGGAGACTCGGAGAAATTATGTCACTTTCCCAGAGCCTCAGCGTGAGCAAGTGGCTGAACCAGGCTTTGAATGGAGAGCCAGGCTGGTCCCAAAACTTGCAGCCTTAACCTCTATATTAGTTATTTATTGCCTTGTGACAAATAGCCCCAAACTTAGCAAGTTAAAATAATGTTTTTTATTTAATATTTTATATAATTATTTATTTATTTCATGGTTCGTATGGATTAGGAATCTGGGTTGGGGGGCAGCTTAGCTGGATGTTCTGGCTCCAGGTCTTTCACGGGGGTACAGCTGAGCTAGCCAGGGCTGCGGTCTCATCGGAAGTCTCACCGTGGAAGCTGGGGGATCCGCTTCCGAGCTCACTCCCGTCGCTCTGGCTGGATTTGGGGCCACATGGACATCTCCACAGAGCAGCTCACAATATGGCACCTGCTTCCCCGGAGTGAGGGAGAGCAGGAGGGTGCTTTAGCCCATCACCACACCCACTGTGCTTAGGTGTTGGTGTGGTGTCTGCACCCATCGGATCACTGTGAAGCTATTAGACACAGTGGCTCAGGGCTGAGACAGTGCTCCCAATGGCATGGCTTCATGCCCCTCTCCCCAAATCATTGATAATCTTATCCTGGCAAATGGAGTGCAGAGACTGAGAGACTAGACAGCAAAGCGGTTACCTCTGGGTGGTGTAATTGTTGGTATTTTCCTCCATGAGTGTGTTAAAAAAAATCAGTGGCGTGCTGCCTTCCCAAGAACAGGAGAAAGGGCTGGAACTTTGCTACTCAGAGGTGACATAGTGCACAACTCTCCTCTGACCATACCATACCTGTGATGCATTTGGCAAAAGACCTGAACAGCCTGGAGAGTTCCCTGCCCCCTTAGAGAACCAGAATGCCCAGGAGAGTGACGGAGAAGGAAGCCCTCTTCCATCAAGTTCATCCTCAGCCCTGTGGTCTCCAGTTTGGCAGATGCAGACACAGACGGCAGCTGTGCCTCTGGCACCGAGCAAAATGACAGCCAGTCTTAGGAATGGAGAGCTCCTGGGGATGGATCAGCCTCTGGGTCCCCAACCCACAGGAGTCCCTGTCCGAGCCGCCACATCCCCTGCTCTCCGAGTCTGCGGCAGTGTTCCTGCTCCAGACGCCTCTGTTTAGGTTAAAGGAGAACCCACATCTCCCGGACAGGATGAGAATGCAAGAGCGTGAGTGCCGTGTCACGAGGCCGTGGCTTACAGTGCATCCGAGGAATGACTGCGAGCTAACAGAGAACAGGGCCGGTGGTCCAGCTTAGCCAGC